TTCTGTTGAAAAAAAAAAAAAGGAATGAAAATAACCAAATACTAATTGAAAGGGATTCTTTTATTTACCCACGAACAACTAGGCCACAATCCCAGCAGCTGTAGATCAGGTTAATTCAAGACAAGGCATCACTGCAGCTTACAGCCAGCTTTGAAAATTCATCAGTAGATCAATGGAGAGCGGGGTCGACTGCAAGTTTCTTGCAGGCAGCCTGGCAGCTAAGTGTCCATCTAACAGACCCCATAATGATGTAACATAATTTAACAAACCACAGTGGTCCCCTAGGAAGAACTTCCCATAAATAAGATGCCAATAAGTAAAGTGGCCCCCCACAGTGGATAACACCATGCACACAGCCACTCCAACCCTCTTTCTGCTCTTAGAGAATGCACAGAAGAGCTGTGTCGTGCAGCACGTTCTGGGAACGAATGGGTCTATCAGACCGAGAGCTCTGAGTGATGTTCAGATTTAGTCCCCTTCACACCCAAAAGCATGTCTCTCAAAGATGCTGTTATACAGCATATTCTTCTTTTGCCCATGGGGGTCTCCCCGAATATTTGAAAGGGAAAAAAAAAACATTTCCCCATTTTTGTAAAATTAACTCAGAAGACAATTTGATAAAGTTAACTGTGGGAGCAGGGAAGAGAAAGTAGTCAGCAGAGCTATGCTGGGATGTAAAAAGCACCCAGATACAACTGCCGTACCTGAAGTTGTTCTCGGGTGTTCATTTAATCTAAATGAACAGGTGATACTTTTATGAAATGAAATAAAGATGTATTTCCTTCACTCATCTTTTACCTACCTTTTCATTTGATGGCATTTCTGTTGGCACACGTTTTTGTTCCTTACATAAACTGCTTTCACATGAATGTTCCTGTCATTAAAACATGAAGATAAGAATTAAGTACATTAATAAAATCATTTGGTATCTTTATTTAGGAGTCTTTGAAACAAAGTTTAAAAGTGTTTGGGAATGCTAGTCCCATTTTACAGAAACTTGGGGATTTGGGAGGCTCTTCTACAAGAAATTCTATGTTACCAAAGAAAAAGTTTACACTAAGTGTCTTGCTTTCTTCCTGGAAGGTGTGGGTTTAAGGAGGACTAAAAGAAGGAAGGGTAACTTCCCCAGGAGCACTATGAGCTCCGCAACACATGCTGCAAAACCCTGTCCCCCTGTCCAGAGAGTGCCCGCCATGGGCTCACTACGCAACAGGCTGCAGAGTTCTCTGGCTTCTTTTTGGAGGAAATAATGTTCAGAAATTTGGGAGTCAAGCACATCCGCTAAAAGCGAGTGCTGCTGTCCCGTGTACAACGAACTGCAGACTCAGAGGTCTCTCCAGATCTGCCTCTAAGCCGATTACTCTTCTTCGCAGCCTAGCAGGCGTGTTCGGTGACGGATCTCCAGATGCAATACCTGCTAAGTGAAAGTACAAAGCGTGATCTTGCACTGACGGGGCCCAGAGCTTTTGGGAACTACTTACAGATGCTTTGCAAGGTCACCGTGGGAAATCTGATACAAGACTGGCAATGCAGAAGTCCTGCCCAGTTCAAACCATAGTTATGTGCACACACACACGTATGCACACATGCAAACATACGCAGTGACATGCAGGTGGGTTACAGAACAGAAAGTAAATATGTGGGAAACTCAAATACAAACTCTTCTTGCATTGAGTTCATATAGTTTTCTTAATGTGCAGACCCTTCTTCCATCCTGCTTATTAACAGTTTGAAGGCTGGAATCCAAATTTTCCATCATGATGTCCTAACGCAAAATGCATTACCGCTAACACGAGACTTCCTGCCATTTCTGGCTCCAAGTAATCCTGAAGTGATCCTCCTGCCATGGGTTCATATAACTCTAGTATGTGTATTTAACACAGCAACTGCCAGCTTCCAGTTCCTACCGTTCAGGGGGGCTGTCTTTAATCTTTATAAACGCCAGTACATTTCCTATAGCAGTCTAGAAATTTTTTGATAAAGCCATTCCAGCAACCTACACGTCTCCCCTGCAAAGAGTCCTGACATTTCTCTTTTGATCCTCAGAAATACAGTCATAGGTTTTTCTCACTAACTCATTTTTCAATACTCTTGTGTCTTAGCTACTGCACAAAGTACACCTTTATTTTCTTCCTTTCTGCTACTTGACTCCATCAGATCGGTGATTTCTTGAGGGGTAGAGGGGCTGGTGAGAAGTTTCCATAAAACATGGAAACACAAAAATCACAAGACCAGTAACTGGTTGGCTAAGACGGAGAGAGCGAGAGCAGTGCCTCAAACTTACTATATGCTCCCAGAGGACTGTGGCTACATGGAATACACACAAATAATCAAAATTCATATGCCACATAACTGCCAATTTAATAAAGCAGATCATGTAACCAGCAAAGGTCCAATTTTACAAATACTAACTAAGGCAGGCAGAGAAAAATCAACATCTCAAGGCCAATCCCCTGCTTGGTTGCCAAGGTTTCCTAACCAAAAAATTAATTAGATGATAGCTAACTGGAATGAGTGGGAGGAAAACAGTTTTTCATTGCAGGAAAATGAAACTCGCTGAAGTGGATCTGCTGTATCACGGACCTCTGACAAGAGAAAGGTGCTCAGGGAACTCACACAGCTCAGGTTTCCTCCTCCAGCCTGCCTGCTGCACTTACAGAAGGCTGAAAGGGATTAAGTGTTGCCACCTTCTGGTATTTACTGTTTCTCTGAAACATACACTGGTTGTAGCACTGGTAGAATGGGCCCAGGTACTCTTCTCTCACGGTAAGAGTTAGTAAGATATGAAAAGCACGTGCAAAAGCTTCCCAAGAAGCGTGTTTTAGCAAGAGCGCCTTATTCTTACTCCAGAAGGACTGTTACCCCCACGTGGAGCAAATCTCACAGCTCAGTATTTGGAGAGGCATAAATCTGTGACAGTTACAACATGCAAAGCTCCCCACTCCTACTTACTTCAGGCTACATTTCTGAGATATTCACAACCACCCTCCTGCCATGTAGGTCTTATATCACTGTGCCTCCATTCCAGGACAAAACTCCAAGGCTGACATTTATTCTCTTTAGATCATCTGGAGGGAACAATATCCATTATGCTACACCCCAAAAGACTGTTGCCCAACTTTTCCTGTTATAATAGAGCCCACAGGGTCTGAAGTCAGGTGGGGCTGAGCTTTCAAACCGAAGCACACACAGCAGCATTAGCAGGTGTGGGGCATCTCTCACTCACGCTGCTGTTGTTTTGCTCCAGGAGTTTTTAATCACAGAACATCCTAAACAACAGCTGATGCACTTCCATCACGAGGCTGAGAAGCGCGCCACTGAAGCTGTATCTTCAGCAATCCCTTCGTGTAAGAACAGACAATTTTCTATCACTTTTCGTCTGCCCTGCCACACCATTTCCTCCTTTCCTTCCAACATACGCATGGAAAAATTAGCAAACTCAGGAAAATTAAATATCCTCCAAGTGTAATAGCATCCACAAAACCAGGATGAAAAATGTCATGATAGATTATTCAAGCCATTGATATAAAGCCCCCATTTGAAACAGAGAAATGTTCTTACTTGGAATTCACTACTGGATAAGCTCCGCTTACACTTCTGACACGTTGTCACATTATTAACACATCCATTTTCCAAATGATCTGCAAGTTTCTTTCTCATCACCATGTGTCCACAACCAGTGTGACAAGGGATTAAAGCATATTCACACAAGCTCTGATGCTCCTGGAAGTAAAAAGTGATAAACCAAAATGTAAACTGCAGATACACATTTATCTGTAAACAGTCTCCACCCTGCCAGCCTAGATCTTTACTTTGCATTTCTTCTAAGCTTGGGCGAAGTCCCACTCCGCAATGTTACCGAGATTACTGGTGAAAAATTCACCGCCTTTACCGGGGCTTTTTCTTAACTTGAAAAAAACAAAACCAAGAAACAACTTTTGATAAATTTGAACATGAGATCTCCCTTGGACTGTCTCTCTCTAGTGCTTTTGTTTGAAAATAACATGATCCTGGTCCCAGATTTTTCCCTTGTATTAGAGGATGCCTAACTTTTAGCCTGGGGGTTTTCAGGGTGTTTTTTGGTGGGGTTTTGGGTAGGGTTTTTTTGAGCACTGAGACCATCCTGCTCTGGCTGGTAGGGTGAATACGGTTAGTCTGCTGACACCTCTGCATAGCATAAAAGAATGGACATCTGACACCCTCTACACGACAATGAGGACACAACCCTTGCCTATATTCAAAACAACTTTTAAAATGTTTCCTCTTCACTATTTGCACCACCTCATCTCAACAAGGAAAAGTATCAGCATTACTTCTTTCACAACGACATCCAACAGGTCTACTTTCAGATTCTGAAAACCACAGCATTTCAAGAAAACCTATTTACTCTGACCTTTTACTGAAGCTTCTGTAGGCACTGTGTCACAACCGATTTTGTCTTTAAAGGGAGATGGCTGTCCCCTACAGAACAGGCTCAGAAATGCCAATTTCAATCACACGCCCACCTCTCAAATCAATTTTGCCCTGTACTCATGCTGAGAGGAGCTCCAATTCCTAAAACTAGGAAGCTAAGGAAACAGGGTAGATTTTCCCTTAAAGAGGAATACCCTCAAATAGAAAATTTGTGCAAAATTAGCAAAGAAAAGGCACCTCAGATGCTTATCAGATGCACGGTCATCAAGGTACATTATAAATGCAGAAAACCCCTCTGTTCCTACCCCAGGGGACCAAAATAGAGCTGCTTTAGTATCAGAACTATCTGTATTTTTTTCATTATTCTAATTTGCATGGCAGATTTGCAAATCTTGCCCATTTAAATATTTTACCCGCGGCATTCCACACCAGGCTGAAAAGAACGGTGAACACATTCAATCAGCAGGACTCATCACGCAGGAGTAAATTATTTCTCTTATAAAAACACACTAGGGATATTGCCCATAACAATGTCCTGGAGACTGAAGCATTCCAGTCTGTCAAAACCTGCTTGTGGCATCCTTGCATGTAAATAATAAGTAAACCCACTGGAAAAAAAAATAATCAGTTGATGTAAATTCGTGCAACATTAATTTCACAATCACTCACGATGTTCTGGATCTGGTCAAAGCTCTACTAAAGTTAATGGCCTGTTTTTAGGCACTCTGTTGGTATAAATCATGGTACCTTTGCTGATTCTAATCATGTTGCATTAATTTGTGTTTGCTGAGAACGTGGTTTCATTGTCTTTCTTCCCCATTCAAGTAGGAGTGCGTGTTAATTTAAATAAACTGCCTTTAAATAAACTGAACGTACTTCAAAATTTTTCATGATACCAGACCAACTGCATCCGAGGGTCATACAGTGCACTTTGAGTTCAGAAATCTCTTTATTAATGGCAGCATCACCAAAAGCCTGGAAAGCAAACACAGCAAGGGAAAAAACAAAATGGTCAGAAAGTACTCCAGTACGCGTTTTTGACATAGGAATAAGGTGACTGTGTCAAAATTTCAGATCTTGATAAATCCCTTATTTGTATTAAATTTACTCTACAGCCACAAGACGCCCTAACCTAGCAAGTTCATCTTAGAAGTAGAAGCCCAAATAATTATTAAATCATTCTTTTCTTCTCGTTCAAAAATAAACCACTTGATGTGATACAACTTTACTGAAAACATGCCCAGCCAACTCCAGCCATTATTTTAAGTTTCTTTCCACAGAAGCCTGAAATATGTCACATGCAATGAATGTGCTGACAGGACCCTAACTATAGGGTGCTGCCATGTGCCACTCCTAATGAATGCATTTCATTATCGGGGTCATTAACACCTCCTAAACGTACTGCAGAGAGGACTTGAGACTGTTCTGCAGCGAGCCTGCATCTCTCAGGCCATGGCTGTTTCCATTTAGCATGGCACTGTGTACTAAAGAAATGTGAACCAGATGTGAGTGGGGCTTTTTTGCACTATGTAGACTTTTTTATTTTGTTAACCATGAAAAACCATACAATTGCTACGTAAATTATGAAACACTACACACTTTTAATATTACACCTTGCACAATCTGAACAGGTACAGTGACAGGAGAACAAGCCCTGCTAAAGTTAACGGCATGTTTTTAGATACTCTGTGGTAAGTACAGAATACAGAGGACTGCAGATTTCCCATGTAACAATAGAGAGCAGGGCAAGAACTTGGGGGTGGGGGGGAAACATTGCAAATAGAGGGAGGAGACCATTTACAGATGATGCCCACATTTCAATAAAGTCACTGAAATTCTACACAAGGAGCTAAAATAAATAAGCAAACAAAATTACCAGAATCAACATTCCTGATTGTTTTTTAAAATCTAGATACAAGATGCTTGTACTTACCTACATTTGTCACATTAAATCACAGCAAAGCAGCACAGCCAATTCTACGAATGGGAATGATGAGACACATTCCTATATGCAGTCTCATAGAAACTCATTTCCTAAGCTCAACCTGCAAGCAAAGTTCAGGACTTTGCACACCAACTGCAGACAACGCCACAAAAAAAGGAATTTAAAAAAAAAAAAAATTATCATGTAGGTTGTACAAAACCATGTATGGCTCCATCTGCATATATGGAAGAGTTTATGTAATAAGTGAGCAAATAATGCACAATTAGTGAAAGCATCCCCAACCTCTAAAACATTCTAGTCTAATTTATGAGCAAAATCAAAAAAAAAGAAAGCCAAGTTAACAGGCACAGGGTGGCTTTTTCCTCCTGTGTCATAAGAGAAAAACTCAAGGAATTTCCTGACATTACAAAATAGATAATTTAAAAACATATTTAACTAGAGGGACAGTCCCAGCACCGCATGGGTTTCTTACTGCTATGTGCATTCCCCGTGCTTTTTGTTTCACAGTTGTAGTTGCTAAATCATTATGGACTCTACTCAGGTAAAAAATAAGGCAGGAAATGCTCATGCCCTTCTTTTATCTGCACAGGTCACTGCTTTGAAATATTCATCCAAACCTCTGTCGTCTTATCTGGGAACCTGAGTCTGCACAGAACTTCTTTAGGCACCTGAGTCAGACCCTCATACAGCAAATGAGGTGACTCTCGCTGACATAAAAGTGCTCTGGGTCAAACAGAAGGAAACAGAAAATATTTCTCTCTGATTCGATATGTTGTAGTTGCACATCTCCTCTCCTTTTAGCTACTTCAGAGGAAGACGTTGGTGCAGAGGCTGCTGCTGTTGATCACGGTGGCTGTTGTGGCACACGTACCTGCCCAGACCTGCCTGTCCCAGAGTTGGCTGTGACACAAATGGAGGTCCCCTGCCATGTCCCATCCCAAAACCACTGACAGATACACTTCTCCTTGGCACTCTGACCCACATGATGTGTATCTTATGGCTGCTAGCTAAGGGAGGACTCTGGTCCACAGGCTCATATGGTCAGGAAGATCAGTGAGCAACACGTTTAACAATCTGACCAAAAGCTTTCCGGAATAAATCCAGTGTCTGTTTTTTTCTCTGCAGCTGAACCAGGATCTTCAGTTGCTCTAACACAGCCAGACCGGGGAGAGCCACCAAGCAGTTCATGTTCAGTTCGGAGCAGAGAACTGTCCTCTAAGCCAGGCCCCTGAATGTCAGCAGAAAGGGTGGGAGCAGAGGCTTGGGAGGATGTAGATGATCAGTAACTGACACTGATGAACAACACCACGATAAGACTTGATGTATATGTTGCAGAGGAAAGGATCATAAATTAAAAGTGTAACAGGGAAGGGATGGGAGTTACCACAGAAAGAGATCATGGGATAAGCCAATACACATCCTGATAAGGCCTTTCTTTTCCTTGTGTAGGTATCTTAAAACACAAACACACAAACAGATAGCATAGTAAACAAACACTGAGCAAAACCACAGCAAAGGTAAAGCAAAGATTACCAGGAACAGACATAAAGAATAAACCTGCTAAATGATCTTTGTTATTCGTGTTGTTTACAAACTCCGACCACTTGTTGTAAGTTGATCTATACAGGCAAATCCTCATGCCTTCGTGGTGAGTGACTTCATCTGGACTCTCAACAGGCACAAGAATCTGCCCAGGCAGATCAGCTTGCAAGAGTGAGGCCCTGTTTACAACAACCCACCCACAGATTTTGCAAAAAGTCCCAGCAGTCTTGGGGAGAATCCCACAGCAGAGAAATCCCAGTTATAAGAGAACTGACAGTCAACATAGAATAAGAAGTTCCTAAGGGTTTAGCTGTACCTATTTGTGGTTACATGATGCACGGAATTCTGTTGCTGGGAAATTTATTGCAGAATTGAGGCTATTTTGTGAGATATTACCAAGTTCAGCATTAACTGCAGATCCATTATTTTGCTGCAGCCGCTTTCTAAACTTCGCCTTTTACCTCGCTGCCAGCTGCCTGTTGGGTTTCGTTTTTCCCTAACAAATTTAGACAGAATGTGTGTCTCTTGGTATTCCTACACGTAATCAGAAGGGAGGGAGAAAGACAAGCTGGGACCAGCCCTATGGCCCAGTTTGTATTCAGGATATAGAACAGTGCAGCAGTCTGCCTGGGAAATCACACAACAGCAAAAGAGATCTCCACCGTTAAATTACAGATGAAACATTTGCCAGTCCATAGTTTTTATCAGTTATTACATTCATCTCTAAGTTTTCCACTATTTTCCCTGCATATCCTGGCTGTCAAAATACTTTCTAGGCAATTCAGCCAGCTAGCCGACACTCTAGCTTTTTTTCTTCGGGATGCTTCACCAGTAAGTTTGGTAAGGGTACAGAGAATCATGAGATTGGAAAAACCACTAGGATACTTACTAAGGATAGTAAGTAACAGCTAAGACACATTATCACAAGAAGGAAAGCACTGGTTACTTTGAGACAATAAAAAGTTAATTATATGGAAGAGTGTGGGATTTTAAGTGGCAGAACATGACAGACTTGGAAAGTCCTAAGGCTGCCATTATACTTTTTTAAATAAAAAACTGTGGGAAATCCAAATGACTAAAGCAGAAGTTAAAATGTGTAACTACCAGTTGCTATCACATTTTAGATTATTCCCTCCTAAATTGTAGTCCAATGATGACTACAGAGTAGCCCAGAGAACGGTTAACGATAAATTAAATAAACTTACCCTTTCTTCTGCCAATAGGCTTCCCTCACTTAAAGTGCTGGGATCTTCCTCTTTACATTTCTGGCAAATCGCATTTTTATTGTTTCTTGCAAAGAGAAAGAAGAATGAAATAACAATCAGTTCATGTACTGTAGTTTAGGAGGTCTTTGTATAGATGCCGACACAAATAAAAACATGGAAAGTGTAATTTCCACTCAGAATCCATAGTCCTTGTTCATTAAAGGGCCAATTCTTGACCACACTGACATCAAAAAACCCCTGCTGTTCTATTCCTCAAGACTAGGACTAGGCCCACCTGTATTTCAGCAAAATAAGAGCAGCCTGGATCACAGAAAGGAATAAACATGGAAACCTATTTGTCTTGCAAAAACACCATGTAGGAAAGGTAACATGAAAACTAAAGTCTTTTAAAACACAGAAAAAGCCCATTTCACCAACAGACTTCAAATTACAAAGATACAGCAGAAGCAACGCAGAATTTAGTTCTACAGAGTTAATACCCTACTGCGGTTAAAAAAGGTTTTGATCTACTCTCAAAATACTTGGCACAGAGCTTTACATAGGAAAAGCGAAAAATAAAACTTTACTAGAGAGGTATTTTGTTGCCAGTGCTGTTCAGCATCCAGACAAATAACAAACTAACACAGACCAAGCAGCTCATCAGAAAAGCATCCATCTGACCAGAACATAACTGATTTCAAACTGCACTAATTAGCTGGTTTGAGCCAGTTTCCTGCTTGTGCTATGCAACTCTAGTGGGAAGACAGAATTCCAGTTACATCCTGCTGACAGTTTTCTAAATTTACGGTTTATGCTGCCTCATTAAGGCACTTTGTTCTAGATTCACAGTAATGGATTTATGTAAGTTGGTCAAACACATTAATTTCAACAGATTTTTACACTACTCTATGTTGCTCTTCAAATCACACGTGGCCAGCGTACTGACTCAGCTTTTCAGGGGCCCCCACGCTGTGATCAGAGCCGGGACTGCACGAACCGGCACACACAAACTACCTTACTGGTAACACCCGTGAGGAAGCACAGGAACAGGCTTTTGACTGACTTAGCACTAAAGCCCAGTCACTGTGTCCTGACAGCTGCTGTTTTCCAAAACACCAAAGCTACAGTCAGCTCACATTCATGGAATTGTGCTGCAATTTCGCCTCTCACCTGCAGGGCAGACATACCCTTTTCCAAAGGCTCTGGATCAAGCTGTAATTGTGGAAAGCAAAGGCAGGATAGAAGAGCTAATCCCTGCCCAGCTCCCGATTTTCAAGTTCTCTGGGACAATGGCTGTCGTTGTTTGTCACTAATGGCAGCAGCACCTTAACATGTAGTGACCCAGCTGGGTTACTAAAACTAAAACTCTCAGATAATGTTTATTAAATTACCATAACATCACTTATCAAAGGACTTTAAAGTCCCATGGAAATACTAAGTCAGCCCGATGCTAGTTCTTCAAGGCTAAATGAGAACCATTATCTCACTCTTCATACAGAAAAACTGACATCTGCCAAGCCCAGTAGCCCAACCTTCCCCACTGGAAACAAGGAGGAGGCAGGCAGCACCCTGCAGGCCACCGCAGGCGGACTTCCAAACAGTAAAACGACTGTGGCCCAGCGGGCCAGGCAGCCACAGACCCATCTCCAGAGCACAGCGCAGCACGCCGGAACGCTCGCAGCCAGACTCTGCCGTGGCGGTGTGACCCTCTGCAGCAAGGACCTACCGTACAACCCAGGAGAGGCAGGCTGAGCAGTACCTATGCCCACAGAGCGTTTGCAGGGCTTTCTTCAGAACGTTATTGCAGTTGCTGCACAGGTACTTCTGATCAGGCACATCCTCGCAAATGTTAGTGGGATATCCGAAGGGAAATTCATTTTCATCCGGAGAAGAGCCAGGGACATCCTGCCGGCCTCTGGTTGTCTTCTCAGCCATCTGAAGTGAACTACTGTCAGAGACAAGGAAGAAAAAAAGGTGCTCAAACAAGCAGACACACGCTCACTTTGATGTGAGAGAATATATTAGGCATCAAAGTCCACGAGCAGCTCCAAACCTGTGCAGTGATCTAGTGCTCTGGTTAATTGAGTCTGAGTTGACATGTGTGACTAAATGTCACAGTGGGGTTTGACCAGACACCAGCAGGAAATTACTGCACAGATTTAAAATTTCCCTCAAACACAACACGAAAACGGACAATATATTAAAATGAAGGGTTGGGGTTTTCTTCCCAGAGTTTTTTAGCTTGTAGAAAGATGAAGTAAATGTTGCCATTGTCTTAGAGCTACAATCCCAACGGTCCACATCACACAGAATTACTTCCTGTAGAGTAAATCCCCAACCACCTTCAATTCCCAGCAGCCAAAATTCGTGATTACACTTCACAGACGCAGAAACTGAGCAACTCGTGTGTTTACAGTGACTTCCCTGAAGTCATAAAACCGGTGGTGAAATAAAAAATTAAATCTCAAGCCCACAAAAGCTTAACGCTCGTGCTCTTACCAGATACACCTTGAGCCACATGTCCCAAGGTGTCACGCATGTTCAGTGTTGGTTTTGGTTAGCAGGAGCCGTGCAGTTGAATGTGTTTGGAAATGCAACCAAAAGTGATTCTGGTGTCTCCGCAGTCGCTTGCGAAGTTCAAGAAAGGCTTTTGCCCAGGAATGTGACACCATTTGATCACATAATGCCTTTATAAATCCATTTTTTTCCTACAACAGTACAATAACCTGTCTCAGTACTATCAGAAGTAACACTGACTACCATGTCTCTGGATAAAACAAAGCAAGACTGCCTGGGCCAGGCCAGGCACAGAAGCAGCGGCGTGATGGCCACGCGGTGTGGATAGGGCATGCCCTGGATTTAAAGCACTTCTCTGAACGAACAGCATGTTGGGTCGCCTGGCTTCGGCAATTCCCTTGGCCTCTCCAGGCGTTTGACGGGGAGCTTAGCAACAAACACGGAGGCTGCCCAATCTGCCAAGAACCATAAATTAAAACTGGTGACGCTAAACGTGCACCCGCCAGTGAACGAAGCGGGGTCAGAGGCGCAAGGGGGTCGGTACCCAGGCGAGGACGGGG